CCCGGCACGACGGCTGCTGCGCTCCTTGGCCTTCCAGCTCCTGCCACTGTTCCGCAGTCTTTCCGGCGACGGCTCAGTTTCCTCCGTGACAGCCTTCACAACCGGCCTCGCCTCACCCGGCACGACGGCTGCTGCGCTCTTGGCTTCCAGCTCCTGCCACTGTTCCGCAGTCTCTCCGGCGGACGGCCCAGTTTCCTCCGTGGCAGCCTTCACAACCGGCCTCGCCTCACCCGGCACGACGGCTGCTGCGCTCTTGGCTTCCAGCTCCTGCCACTGTTCCGCAGTCCTTCCGGCGGACGGCCCAGTTTCCTCCGTGGGAGACATTGCTTTACTGTTTGCGATAATGTTGTTAGATATACCGGTGTCTCTATCGTTTTCTTCATTTGCTTTACCCTGCCGACGCGTTATTAGGTTTTTATTCTCGCGTATTAGTTCCATGATTGCCTGTCGCGCCCTTGCCTCTTCCTGCTCAATGGCGGCTGCTAACTGGGCTGCGAGGTTGACGCAAATGTTTCCTGCGAGGCTATTGTAGTACGCGGCGTGGAGGTTGCGCCGTGCCTTAGTTTCTGCGGTGTCGAGCACGTGTTTGTTGGCGTCCATCTCGAGTGTCATGCGCTGCTCACGCTCCGCCCTTGCCAGCATGCGCAGAAGAAAATAGAGGCGCTCGTTCCAGAGTGCGTCACGGAAGACGCCCTCATCCGCGACAAGTTGCACCTGCTCCACCCCGGCAAGGAAGTAGGACTGCTGCATCTCCGCCCGCTCGGAGGCCTCCTCCCGCGCCACGGCGCTCTCGAAGGCGCTGTGCCGCATGCGCCACAGCAGCAGCATGCGGTTCCGCCACTCCTCCTCGAAGACCCCCGCCTCCAGGGCGACGTCAAAGCAGAGGCGCGCCAAAAAGGAGGGGGCGTCGTGTAGCAAATACCCCCGCAGCAGCGCACACCCCTCCATCGGCTTCAGCACTTCGCACACGCGCCGATCCATCTCCAGCCGCTCCAGCTCTGCGCGGCAGCGTGCCTCCTCCTGCAGAAGCTGCACGGTGCGCTCCCGCGCGAAAATCTGCCGCCGCTTGCGCTCTGCGTAGGAGCGCCATAAGCGTTGCAACTTGGAGGCCTTCAACTCCAGAAGAAGGTTGGCTTTTTTGGGTTCAAAGACTTTCTCGAAGCTCATGAGCCACTCGCGCGTGATGGAGACACGCTCGTAGGACTCTAGCTGCCAGAGGAGCGCCACGGGGTCCCCTTCCGAGGCGAAGCTGCTGGTGCGGCGGTTGCGCGAGATGATGGCAAACAACATGCGTTCCATCTTCTCCACCTCGGCGCGTTCCCGCGGCTCCGTTTTCTCCTCCAGCACACGCATCTCCAATTCAATGGCCCTTTGCTTCGCACTGCAGGCGCCTCGCAGCTCCGCCTCAAGACTGTCCCTGCAACGCTGAATATCCTGCCGCTGTGACTCATGTGCCCGCATCAGTTGCACCCTCTCACGTTTCTCGGCAAAGGCCTCTCGCAAAAAACTTTGTATGCCCGTTCTTCCGACCTCGCCCTTCCTGTAACGGCGGTAGAAGTTCTTTATCACGTTGGCGCTTCTGGTCTCAGTCTGAAGCCGCCGCAGCTCCGCGCCTGTTTTGCGTTCCATGTCTTCGACAATCTCGGCCACTGCGTCCTGCTCTGCGCGCGCGAGCCCGCGGCGGGCCACCTCTTCACCCCCGAGGAGGAGACCCAGGCGGGCGGCGTGGAGCAAGTCGTCGTGCTCGCGCTGCAGGGCGGCGGCGCACGCCTTGTGAAACTGCAGCGTTGCCACCTCCAGCAGATGAAGCCGACCCGCTAGAAATTCCCTCAAAAGCCCATTTCGCAGTGACGGATCTGTGGACTCGAGCTCGAGAACCCCCGCCTTACAGCGAATCAAGAGTTGAGCAATCTTCTCTGCGTGCCCTCGCTGCTCCTCCTGCCGCATTGCAAGGAGGGAGGCGGCCAGCGCCCGGCGTTCCTCCTGCCGCTGCCTCTCCCGCTCCACGGCCGTGATGCGCAGGACCTCGCGATCGTCAAGCTCCGCGTCCAGTATACCGCGAAACGCGGCCGCCTCGTCGACGGTGGCAAGCACCCGCTCGGCATCCTCGTGCTCCCCCAGCAGCCGCTTTTGCTTCATGACGTGCAGGAGCCTGTAGAAGAGGGAACAGTCGCGGTGCCACTCAAACTCCTCCCTGACGTCCAACTCACGGCGGAGGTTCACCTCCTCCTCAATGCATTGGGTCCTCTTTGGCCGAATAATGTCATCGATAAAACTCTGTCGACGCTGGCGAAGCAGCGCAGCCACCTCCCACTCCTCCTGAGAGTTGATCACGACGCGGTGCATAAATTCCTTCTCACAGAGGCCGACTCGCTCCGCCTCGTGTACGGCGCGCAGCTCCTCCTCCACGGCCCTGCAGTCCGCCAGCAGAGACAGCTTGAAGGCACGCAACGACTCCACTCCGCGCTGAATCTTCTTCGCGTCACGAGCTGCCTGGATGCTCCGCCCAACCTCGCGGTGGGTGAAGCGCCAGCCCAGCCGCCCCCCCTTCCAGCGGCGGAAGGCGCGCTGAATTGTGAGAATTTGACCCGCGTGAGCGCCCTGGTGCTCCTGCAGGAGCCGCAGGAGGGCAATCTGTGAGGGCATAATCGTGCCCATCGCCGCCTCGTACGCTCGCGCCAAGGACGCACGGAGGGCCAGCTCCAGATGCTGCATCCACATTTGACGGGCAATGGCCTCATCCTCCTCAAGCGCGGCACGACTTCTTTCGTGTTCCTCCATAGCAGCGTTGAGCCTCGCCTCCATGGAGGCGCCAGTGTACAACCTTTGCAGCAGACCGCGACAGATGGACTCCTCGATGTGTATCCGCTCACGCTCATCCTCCTCCTGCACCGCTAACTCGGCACGCTCAGCGGCGGTGCGTGGCTTGGCCGTCATTGCATGCTGCTCCAACGCCAGCTGAACCTGCTGGCGCCGTTCCTCGCGTTGCCCCTGCCAATAAAGCAGACGCTTTAGGTGCATGCGCTTGTGCCGCCACGTGCGAAGGAGAAAGCTCTGCTCTTCGAACAGCTCCATGATGCCCCGAAACTCATTTTGTTCGCACTCGTCAATTATACTGCGGGCCTGCATATCCTTCTCCAGGAGAGCAACATAGGCCGCGATGCCAAGGGTATTGCGCACGGCACTGCGCAGTGTAAAACGAGGCGCGTGAAAAGACTGCGAGAGCGCCGGGAGCACGTCACTCCGCTGCTCTTGCTCCCCGCGTGACTGTTCAAGGGGATGCGGGTCGGAGAACCGAGCGGCGGGGGCGTGGGTGCCGTGCTTCAGCCTCACGTATCGCTGGAGAATGTTGCGCGCGTCCGGTTCCTTCTGCGGCGGATGACAGACGTAGCGCGGGCGGGCCGAGGAGGCCACTGGGTACAACACATCCGCCTCCTCCAACCGCCGCTGCTTCTCTTCCTTTGCGCGCAGAGCGGCCTTGAACCGCACGAGCTCCTTGCTTGCATCCGACTCATTTTGCAGCCAGTAGCGCTTCTTTTCCTCTTCGTAGAGGATGTTAGAGCGCTGCTCGCACTCGCAGAAGTGCAACGCGTCCAACTCCTCCCGCAAGACAAACGTGACGTAGCTCACGACCATCATCTGGCTCAACACCTGCCGCTCCCACATCTCCGTGTCCACCAGGTGCCGCCGCTCCTCCTCCTCCAGCACGCAGAGCGGCGGCAGACGCTCCGCCAGCGAGGGCGCGTGGAGCACGATGCCACTGCCCTCGGTTTTGAAGCAAAGACCCTGCGAAAAGCGCGTTGCGTCAGCACCGTTCACCGCGTTTGCCTCCGATATCAGGCGGGGGCGCGTGATGAGTGGAAGTCGGTCCTTCGGGTTGTACACCGCCCGCCGCAGGAAGTTTTGCCGCACACCCTGCAGCATCTTGAGGTACCCGTCGTGGCTCACGGCGCTGCCGCACACGCGGTGCACCGTCCGCCACTGATCCCGCTGGCGGAACTCGGCCTCGTTGGGGGCGGAGAATGTGCGGCCCTTGCCGTGAATGTCCGGGAGGGGCTGCCGCATGCGATTGTGTGGGGCCACGCAAAAACCAGCAACACCAAAAAAAAACTGCACGCACACAAAAGTGTGATACCTATTGCGTCTATAACCCTGAGGGGCAGGGACAGCCGCTCCTTGACTTCACTATTGACTCCACAGAGACTAGACGAAGCAGGCACACAAAGTAATAACAGTAATAATGATAATAATAAAACAGAGCTGCAAACAGGCAAAGAGGGTGGCGGGGTTCTTGTGCATGTGAGCCACATCCTTGGCGTCTGCGCCAACGCAGGCAGAATTGGTGGGACACGCCACAAGAGACACGTGACAAAATAAACGGCAAGAGAAGGTGACAGTGCATACATATATACATATGCATAAATATGTGTGTGTTTGTGTAACGTATATATGATCCTACCACTTTGGCGACGCCGGCCAGCGCTGATCCCGAGGCTCCTTGATCTCTGAGCGTGCGCTGGGCGGCTGCAGCCGGCCGTGCCAGTTTGGGGTCTCCAGCATCGTCGCACGACGAAAGTGTCGCGCCGCCTCCTCGAGAGGAACTCCCATGGCAGCCGCCTTCTTCGGAAGCACGTGCTGCTCAAACCACTCCCACTCCGCCGCGTGGTGCTGCAGGTGCTGCGGCTCGCCGACCTCGCTCCACCACTTCATTGTCTCCACCCATCGCACCCGGTTTTGGTGCAGCTCACTCTCCTTGTGCGCCTCGTAGTCCTGCTTGAAGCGGAACCGCACGTGGCAGAGCGCACAGCTCGGCTGCTCGCCAAAGAGCCAAACATCCTTCCCACCGTGCGGAATACGCTTGCTGCGCCGGTCGATCCACTTGGATTTCTTGCGGATGCGAATGAGACGCCCGCTGGCCGAGGCGGTGCTGCTGTTGATGGTCGTCACCTCCGCAAGAAGGCGGCGGGCACAGAAGAGCATGCTGACCACCCACGCACCCCGCCTCCCTCACACGTTTTCCTTCTTTTCTCCTCTTTGTTTCTTTTTCCCCCTCCTCCCTCCAACGACACCCTCGGTGCTGCAGAAGAGCAACGATGCAGTAACAGCAAAAAAAAGGAGAGGGGAAAAAAACAGCGACATGCCGCACGCTTGCAAGAAGAGGCAAATAGCAGAAAAGCACCAAAAGAGGCACATCTCTTGTGTGCAGCATCGCCTTGTGTTTTTTTTTAGAGGTCAGTGCATCACAGTTCTGGTAAACGAGAGGGGGGGAGGGGGGCATATTGCGATGCGGAATTGTGCACGCACGTAGTTACGTAGACGCACGCACACTTATAAGTGCGCGTGCACACGTCCAGGGAAATATACGTGCGTTGCGAGAGAACTCTGGCCCCAGTCTATGTCTATGCCCTGCAGACCCACGAGAGGCCGACGCTAATTGTGCCCTGTGGGTGCAGGGCCTCCGTCGTGCGCACCAGCGCCTGCGGGGACTCCAGCAATGCCCGCAGCGGCACCTCCGCCACCCCCAGGTTTGCCTGCACATCCTTCGCCTGCTCGTCAAAGACGATAAAGACAACGGCGCCCACCGCCATGAACTCCACCAGCTCCCGGTCCATCACCAGGCGGTGGTCAACGGGGTCGGCGTCAAACACCGGGTCGGCTGTGAACGGCTTGGAGGAGGGGCGCACCACCGTGTCTCGCACGCAGCTTAGCCCAACTGGGGCAGAGGTGGTGTAGAACACGTACGGTTGAGGCACGGGCGTGGCCAGTAAACCATCTGCGCGGAACACCTGCACTCTTAGGGCCACCACACTCCGCAGCCCCACCAAAGCCGCCCGCAGTGCCTCTGCCGTAAAGAGGGTGCTGCTTAGCTGCCGGTCAAGCAGGACAGGCAACATCAGGTTGGACGCACACACCTCAACTGTGATGGCGCCCGCCGGCTCCCCGCTCCCGCTCACCATGGGAACCCGCTCGGAGACGGCCAGCTCGCGACACGACAAGAGCGCCACCCCGGGGATCTCCCCCATCGCGACAATGACGCTCGCTGCCCCTTTTACCTGGTGAAGCTGGAAGACAAATGTTGTGCTTCGAATATCAGCAACCGTCACCTCGTCTCGGTCGAGGTGGTCGTAGCGGAAGCGAATATCAAGCGGCTCGTCCAGGGCGTAAAAGGTTTGCGACAGCATCGTATCGTAGGACTGCAGCCCATCCATGGTGAAAAAGAGGGACACGGCGGCCCCCGCTGCCGCGCCAATGCCGAGCGAACGCAGGAGGCCCGTGTCACACTCCACGCCTCGTATGTGGAAGGAGATGAGGCCGGCTCGTGCCTCCGCGGAATCCGCCCCGCGCTGCTTCGCCGCATGATACGCCTCGAGCTGTTGCTTCGCAAAGACGGTTTGAACATGCGAGAGCCGACGGCGCATCTCTATATTCTCCTCCAGGAGTGCATCCCTCTCCTGCGAGATCTGCTGCAAAAGAGAGCGGCCCTGCTCCACCTGCGTGCTCATCTGCGCGCAGCGCGTGTCCGCAAGCTCCATGTCGAGGGCCGCGCTCGCCAACGCCTCACGCAGCTGGTCGGCCTCCCAGTTGTCATCCCACTTCAACGCGTCCCACATGTCGAGTGCCTCCTCCGCCTCACCGGCGGCACCGGAACGCTGCGAGGCGGTTTTGCGTATCGCCGCCACTGTGAGTGCGCGCTGCACGTGCGCATCCCCCAAATCCTCAGTTGCGGGCCCGCTAAGCGCGGCCCGCGTCGTCAGCTCCGTGATTTCCGTCTCCGCCTTCTGCAGCTGCTCGCGGTACATGGCGGCGTCCCCGCGGGCCACCTCCAACTGTCGCCGCACCTCGGCAAGCTGACGCTGCGCGTCAAGCAGCTGTGACTCCTTCTCGCGTCGTCTGAGCTCAGCACTGTCCCGCATCTCCTGCAGGTCCGCTATGCGCGAGGAGAGTTCCCGCCGCACCGCCTCCTCCGTCTCTCGGTTGCACGTCTGCAGCGTCCCCGCCGTCCGAAGCAGCTCTTGCTCCATGTGAATCAGTTCCTCGCTCTTGCGCTGCAGCGTCCCCTCCAGCTCCTCCAGCCTCGTGCAGCGGACCTGCAGCAGACTTTTCTCGTGTTCAGCTTCAAACAGCTGTCGCTTGGTCTCCGCATGCATGGCGTGAATGCGCTTCAGCTCCTCCAGAAGGCGGGAACACTCCCCTTTGAGTGTCTCCGCCTGTTGCTGGGCCGACTGTATCCGACTCGTGAGCAGCGGAATCTGCTTCGCCTTGTCCTGCGCCTCGTTCTGCAACTGAAGAAGAACTGTGGGGTCCACCGCGGCGAGCTCCTTCGAGCGTTCAGAGTTCTCCTGCTCCGTAAGACGCAGCTTGAGCGCCAACGCATCCTTCTCGCGCGTGAGCGCATCAATGAGTCTCTGATACTCCGACTCCGACTGCCGTCGCGCCCCTTCGGCCGTTTCGGCCCTCTCGTGGAGGACGTCGAAGGAGTGCCGCTCAAAAGAGCGGTGCTGCTGCTGCAGGAGAAGCGTGGCCTCAGACTCCGCGCGGGTGCGGGACAACTGCTCGCGCAGAGCGTCAGCCTCCGCGGCCACCCGGTCCCGCTCAGCCACCGCGCGCGCGAGGTCCTGCCGCAGCTGCTCCAAGACAAGACTCACCGCCGGCGACGACGAGAATAGCGGGGCGGTGCCGGCGGCGGCGGTGGTGGTGGCCCCTCCCGCGGCTTGCGGCGCCCCCGCACGCAGCGAGGCAATTTCTAGCTGGGCCCGCTGCAGCGCCTCGCGGCAGCGTTGAAGCTCCTGCGACGCCGCCTCCGCGTCCGCGGGTCCGCCGCCCGTGGCATCCACACGCGGCAACGACGCTGGGGGGCCCCGTCCCGCGGAGCCGGTGGCCCCCCGCAGGCGCTGCGGCTCCGCATGGGCGCCGCCGGAAGAGGCGGGGCGGACCTTCGGCAGCGTGGCGGGAGCGACGTCGTCCAGCGGCTGCAGCATCTCCGGCGGCACACGCTTCAAGTCCCGCGTCAGTCTGTAGAACTTCACCTGGACGACCTTCAGCTTCTCCCGCAAATCCTGCACCTCGTGCTTCAGTTGGCGGTTTTCCTGCAGTGCCCGCTGCAGTCGGTCCTCCCGCGCGGCCGCCAGCTGCACATCCGTCGCGCCACGCATCACCGCTTCCCCCCGCCTTCCCCCGCTTGGCGTCGCCTCCTCCTTCCACAGTCACCAGATATATATATATATATATATCTATACCACACAGCAGCAGCCGCCGCCGCCGCCGCTAGAAGCGTGCGTGAACGGGCAGGGCCGAAACGAAAGGAATCAACAAAGCGAAAGAGAAAAAGAAAAGAAAAAAAAAGAATGTGGCACACGCCGACAGACAACGACAACAATTGTCATCCTCACTCCCACCACCTTATCCTCCCCGCGACTTGTTATAGATCACACAGAGTGAAACAACACCACACACACACACACACTCACTCACAGAGCGGGTGAGAAGAAGAGTAGAACCGCGTCTCACGGCCGCTGCCCGCGGGCAAACGGGTCGATGCCAGACGCCCAGGAAACATTCTCGCGACGCCGGCGTGCCTTCTCCCGCTCGTGCTCCGCCTGCTCCTTCGCAATGCGCTCGGCGTGCTTGCGTGCCTCTTCGCGGAAGAGTTTGGCGTTTTCACGCTCCTCTGGTGTGCCGTGCTGCCGTCCACTGCCGTCCTCCATCATCGCGTAGGCGACGGAGATCGGTCGGTCCCTGTAGACCTTCTGGTCCATCTCGTCAATCACCTTGTCGCTGGCGGCGAAGTCGTCGTAGGAGAGGATAACAACGCCGCGGAAGTTCCCCTCCACGTCCCGCACCTTGCGCGGCGGCACGGCAAACTTCCCAAACTGCCCAAAGAATGCGGTGAGGTCAAACTCCGTGGCGTTGAGGTCCACGCCACGCACCACAACCTTCGCCCCAATCTCGTGCAGCTCGTGCACGGCGTGTCGGTGGTGCACCTGGCTGCCGCTCTCCTTGAGCGGCATCTCCGTGCTGGCGTGGGACACGCGCAGCTCCCTCCCAAACATCTTGACGCGGCTGCGGTAGAGCGCCTCGTAGCAGTACTTCGCGTCCTCCGCGTTGCGGAAGTCGACGAAGCAGAAGGTCTTGTGCTGCGCCCCACCGGTGAGGTTGCCAATCGTGGGCCACGTGATGTTTGCGACGGGGCCGAACTGCGTACAGAGCTCATGGATGAGGTCCTCGTCGCACTGCTCCGACAAGTCGCTGAAAAAGACACGGCGGAGGTCCTCCCGCTTGAACGTCGTCATCCCCGACAGTGCACTGCGGCAGCAGCAGCGGCAGCTGCGCCCTCTAAGCCCTAACCCCCGACGAACTGTAAAAGGGAACGCAAGAGAAGAGGCGCGCGCAATGGGGGCATCCACACAAACAGGCTCGCATCGCCCGACACACCCACACACAGAGAGGATGAAAAAGAGGAAAAAAGAAGAAAGAGAAAGAGGGGAAGAGAGAGAGAGAGAGCAGGGAGGGGAGGAAAGTAAGGAAATAGAAAACTCCTCTCTCATTAGCGCCTGCCCCGCCGCCCTCAAAGTGACTCCAGCGTGTTCAAAGCAAGGTTCAAGTCGCTGGGCTCGTAGCGGGCGAGGGACGGCACAAGCACCAGCGCCTCCTCCACGGTCTTTGGGCAGAGCGTCCCAAGCGCAACTACCTCAAAGGGCCTCATGCGCGCCGTCTTGAGTGCGCCGTGGTCGTCCGCGTCCTCCGCCGGGTCCCGCATCCCCGTTACGTTTCCCTCGCTGTCAAGAATAAAATTCGCCAGATGTGAATTCGCCAAGCCCGTCTCGCCCTCGTCACGCAGACGCAGCTTCATCTTCATGACTTGTTGCACGCTCTGCTCGTCTGCGCAGGTCTCCTGCATCAGCTCCACCTGCTCCCGCGTCCGCTCAATGAGGGTCATGGCGGGGGATTCCAAACCCGCGTCGTCGCCGGCGTCGCGCCGCCCGCGCAGCAGCTGCACGACCACCGGCAGGGTGAGCGGCTCCGCCTGGCTGAAGACGGGGCCGAGGTCCCCCTCCACGTAGTTCTCGCCGCTCATTGCCCGCCCGCGCACAGCCCACCCCTACAGAAGCACAACTCTCTTGGGAAGCTGCGGAGGAAGAGAAGGAAATCACGTGGCCCGGCATGGAAGCAAATAAAGCCGTTAGCCGTGACCGGAAGGAGGTCCAGAAATGCACCAAGACGAGAAAAAAAGAGGAAGCGCTGGAACAACAAGAATCAACAACAACAGTAACAATACAGAAAAGTAAAGTAAAAGTGTGGGAGGGAAAAGAGTTTTAGAAACTCAGCCATCTTTGTCTTTTACGATCCTGTTTTCACACGTGCATCATGTTTTGCTTTCGTTCTTCTTTGATCAATTTCATAAGCAGGGAAGGGCCCTAACAGAAACGATTTGGCCATATATATATATATATATTCATATGTGTATATATGGACTTATGCCTGAAGAAAAGCTCTCATGACTTCTACGTCTCTATAGCCACTGATTCTCCCCTACTCCACCCACAGGGCATTTTTTATCACGCCGAAGATGTCGTACGAGAGCAGAAGAAGGGCATCGCGAGGAGAACCTCAGCGCTTGGCCCTCGATACACAACCCAGCTGTCGCATCCTCCTGCTGCAGCTTATCCTGCGCCGGACGCTGCACCTGGCGTCTCACGGACCGGCGTAGGTCATGCGCACACCCCGTCCTACTCCGATAAAGGGACGAGGTGACGCGGGGTCGTACCGGGGAGCTAACGTGCTGTGAAGATGGTCTACCGCCGTTCTTGCCGGATCCGCCGCCGCCGCCGCCGCCGCGTTCAAGGCGCAAGTCTGAACCAGACAAGGCACTCCGGCTTCGCTCGCTCTCCACGCGGCGTACAGGTGGCGCCCCATCGAAGACGATGGGTGTGAACAGAAGGCCTGAGGCATCGTAATAGCAGCGCTCAAAGATGGGATTTGTCCGCTTCTGGCGCGTCGTCGGGGCGCGCGGCGGGAGGCCGCCGGCGGTTCCAACGACGACAGGATCACGAAAGTACAGCCGTTCCAAAAAACGCCTGGCGTAAGATGCTCTCGCACCCAGCCCTGCAGCACCGGTGACTGACGCTAGCCCAGCAGAACGCGGCGGCGAATTCACGCGTTGCGGCTCCGCAGGTGCGGTGTCTTGTGGTCCCGTTGCAAGCACCGCAGGCGGCAGCCGTGAAATGGAGGAGGACCATTCCAGCTTCATCTTTGGGTCCCGGCCGCCGCAAAGGAGCGAGCTTGCCCTCGAGGAAAACGCGATCGTGTGCTCCAACTGGGGCGGGTCCATGTCGTTTTTCACCGTGCTGTTTGGCGCACCGAGGCGCAGGTGCGTCGCGCCCTCAAGGGTGGAGGCAGAATCAGAGACGGGCCCGGCGCCGCCCCGCGGGAGTGGGGCGCTCAACTGCGGGCGCCCAGCAACAAGCGCCGTGGACACAGTTGTCGGCGCGTCGTCCGCGCCGAGGGCCAACGAATCCCGCGCCTCGCGAGGCGGGCTGCGGGGCGTCGCGGGGGATGCGTCCTCCGCCGGTGCGACAGCGGCGGAGGACGCTGCTGCGTCCCCGTGCGAGGCGGGCCCCGCCTCTTCGCCAAGCAGGCGGTTCAGCAGCTGCAGCGTGTGGAATTCGTCGCGGCCGCCGTCCGCCGCGCTCCTGCCGCAAGCAACTAGAAGGCGCAGCATCGGTGCGGTTGCGCAGGCGCCACGCACAACGGTGACTGGCGGCGGCGCCCAGAAAAGGGGAAAAGAGAGAAGGAAGCAAAAGTGGCAGGCGGTGAAACACCCCTCCGCAGTGGCAGCGGCAGTGGCAACAGTCAACGCAGGCACGCACGTGGCAACAACAAATCAAAAAAAAAAGGGAGGGGAAAAGACAAAAAAAAAGAACAAAGACGAAAACAATCATAATTGTGGCGGGGGCCAGGGGGATGTTAACGGCAAGGCAGCGTTCGAATTTAACACACGCAAGCACACAAGCACATAAACAAGAAGGTAATCGCGGGTTCGTAGACGTCCATGCTTGGGTGTGTCCGCAACAAATACGACACCTCCCCCCCACCCCGCTCTTTGCCCGCTCTACCGTCCCGTGCCCACTGACTTTGTCCCCGTCTCCTTCCTCCCTCGCTCTCTTTTTACTATCCTTTTTTCTAGTTCTCTCCGCCTTTTCTTTTTGCGTGTCCCTTTTCTCAGTTTCTACTCTCGCACCCTCCTTCCCTGTGAGCCCCGCCGCAGTTTTCCCTCGTGCGTTCCTCCTTAAATACTTAAATATATATATATATATACTTCCCCTCCCACAGCAACGTTGAAGCATCCACACAAACACACACACACACACACACGTGCCAGCGGCGGCGGCGGCAGCCCCCTCCCACGCGGAGGGGTTCGAACTGAAAGAAACACACAGAAGCAAGCAAGCACCGACGGGGCACCACAAGACAAGGAAAAAACAAAAACAAAAACACGCCACCAATCGCCATTGCAGGAGGGGACGCCACCGGGAGAAGCCGAAGTGAAGGCCCCGCTGCAAACAAAAAGTCCCCCGCAGAAGCCAGAGGTGAAATTAGCAACAACAACAAAAAAAAAAATGGGGGAGAAGGGGACCTCTACAAATGGCCGGCGCGCCCCACCTGGGGCGTGAACGCCTATCCCTACTTGCAGCAGTACGCACGCAAGCGGAATTCCCTCAGCATTGCCACACGCACACACACACACACACACACGCACGCCACGTCCCCTGCTTGCCCCCACCACCACGTGCGCGTCAGACGCAAACCCCACGCAGACAGAATTGAAGGCGCACGCGGCCGAGGGGCAAGCAGTGAATAGTAAAGACAACAAGAAAGAGAAACCAAACAAGAAAAAAAGAAAGAAAGACAAAAACAAAAACAAAAACGGCAACAACACGGCGGACCGTATTCAGTCATTCATTTCTCCCCACTCTCATTCGCCATCAATTCCTCATTTGCCTCATCGTCCCCCGCCCGGTCTTCACGGTCCTCGCAACTTCTTATTTTTGTTCGTTTTCTCCATAAACATTGCAACCACAATCGCTCTCCCCCTGAATAAATAAACCGCATCTTTCCCACTCACGCCCCCCTAAGCACACAGAACACACAAAACGAGATTGTTTGTTTCAACTTTGCATATTCCCCTCCTGTTTTTTTTTGGCAAGTGTTTATCCCTTTCTCGCGTTCAACATTTTTCTTCTTTACGTGCTGCACCCCCGGGCGCCCCGGTACACGTATACACGCGCGCTCACGTACACACATTACTGCACCGCCTTCGCTCACGCCATCCTCCCCTGCCGTCCCCCGCTTCTCTCACACCTACAGCAGCCACTCCCTCATGCAGGGTGCATGCGCACCGAAGGAAACTGTGCTGCCTGTGCGCAGCTGTGGGTGCGCACACGTGTTCCGCAGCCATGCACATCAAAGGAGCACAGAATCAAAAGGAGCTCGTTCTCACGCTATTATCTTCGCACCTTCATGTATATACATGCACCCAGACACTCACATACGAAATAGCGCGGTACCCCCACCACAGTCTGTCGCTCTCGGCATCCACACGACACACACACACACAACGAAAACAAAAAGTGGGGAAAAGACACTGAAACAACAGGAATTACAAGATGAAGCTCAATCCGAGCAGAGTTCGTTTGTTATTGCTGCCGGTATTTGCGAGTGCTAGTCCTATGAAATAGGGTCGGGAAGGCAGGCGAGCATAACCCTCTCCGCGGCAGCGTCCAAACTATGCAAACACAACAATCTCATGGAAGGAAAGTCACGCACAGAAAGGAAAAAAAAAGGAATCGTAGAAAACAGCTAACGTTTTCCGGCATCCAAAGTCTGCCTCTGCGCGCACAGGCAGAGATATATAGATAGCTACCACTTGCAAGCAGGTAGATGTGTCAGATTGTCCTGTACCACCAATCTCTCCCTCTCCCACTCTTTCGTCGACACATTCTCATAATCTCATTTTGCGTTCTTCTATATAACTATATATATATATATATATATATATATATATATAT